CAGCATCATAGGAGCAGAAAGGCTGACGTTTCTGATGAAGGGTCTTAGGCCCGAAACATCAGCCTTTCTGCTCCTATGATGCTGCTTGGCCTGCTGTGTTCATCCAGCTCTGCACCTGGTTGTCTCAACATATTTTACATATGTTTTAAATATCGATCTATTCTTAGTGATGTTAAGTGTTGCTTCAATATGTTTTCAACATTACAAAAGTGATTACCGATGAAGGGTCGAGGCCCGAAACGTCAGCCTCTCTGCTCCTATGATGCTGCTTGGCCTGCTGTGTTCATCCAGCCCTGCACCTTGTTGTCTCACAATACAAGTACCTCATTGGTTTTAAAGCGCTTTGGAATATTTAGAGTTATTAATGGTAATTTATAACCTTTTCACTCTTATATTCAGATTTAAGAAACATTTATGATTGAGTCTTGAGAGTTTGGACTTCATTACAACAATCTCAGATTAGGAACAACAATATGTCACTGTAATTAAACAAAGCCTTGATGTTAATCACACTTGGGATATTGTCTGCACGTTTAGTTTCCTGCCCCAAGGAAAGACATAATTCCATAGAGGGAATGCAACAAAGATTCACCAAACCAATTCTTAGGATGAAAGAAGAATCTACAATCGAAAGATTAAGTAGAATGGGCCTATATTCTCTGGATGTTCAAAAGATTCTCAGTCAAACACATAAAATTCTTATAGGATGTTTGTAATGAATCCTCATAGTGTCAGCTTGATGAAAGATAGATCAGGTAGATTTGCTGCCATTCTTTTAGGTTGAGATCTAACAGCCTGACTGGTCAACTGTGGTAGAGTAAAATCACTTGGTAGTCTAACAAGAAGAGGCTTGTGCCTTAAACCAGTTGTAGTTTATTGCATGATTGCAATCAGGTACAAGGCACATAAGATAGACATTGTTACCAGAGACGAAATCTTACATTTTTCATGCTAAGTATTAACTTGTCAAGTTTCATGGAGGGCTTCTCTTCATGAGACCAAGTGAATTTTCTTGCGCTTACATCCCAAATCTGCCTCATTAACTACTTACCCAGGTCCCATGGGCTGACATGAGCCTGATTCTACCACTCACTGTACCCAGAAAAACTCACCACTGCTCAGAATTTCAGAGTAGACTGGTATGTCTAGCACTAGTGCCTCTATAAAAGGTGACTGCATGCACAAACAAGCACTGACAGTCTGGAGCCACCCTACATCGTTCGTGAGATTTATCCCGGACATGGCAAACAAGGGTAATTTCATGTCCCACCTTCTGTACAGGAACCTAGAAGTCATTCTGCATTGGGTAATGCAGACAACTGCCATTCCTACCCCCAGGGCCCCCAGAGGAGGCCACGATGTGAGACCCTGCAAGCATGGTCCGAGGTTGCCACCCAGGAATTGCACCAGAGTAAGTGCCATCACCTTTATTATTAATTAGTTTTCCTCCACATGCACCACTAATGGCTGTGCCAACCACTTTCATCTCTCTAATGTCTGCCTTTCTTTCATTACAGGTAGAAGGAGTACGATGGGTAGAAGTTGCCCGACACTTGGCTCCTCATTCCTTCCAAGGAGAGGACCCTGACAGTGACCACTCCAAATGGCTACCTATTGTCCAAGCCCCTTGACTGGCACTGTAGGCTGCCCTTGACTTAATGTGTCGATGCCCCCTGACTGAGGAGTGTCTCCCTTGATAAGAATGCCAACAAGTATGACAAGCTGCGAACCATGACATAGCTTTGTCTGTGCCAAACAACTAGGCAAGACAGAAATTTTGTGAGCCTGGTAGCTCTGGCTGAGGAGGCAATGCACAAAAAGGCAAAGCAAGTCAAGGCGGGGATGTTATGAGCATCCAAGTAGACACAAAGTAAGTGAGTGCTAAGACAGTGAGTGTCTGTCCCTGGGCATAAAGTGTCCTTGCAGCAGCATTGAAATGATAGTTGCAGGTATGCCCAGAGACACAGCTGTAAAGTGCAGAAGCATACTGTAAGTAGGTTGGAGATGTGTCATGATGATGCAGAGAGGCTGGCAAATTTCTGATGCCAAAGTCAATAGACATGGGATGAGTGTGGTTGCTGCTGGAGTGTGCTCTGAGATGCTGACTGCTTGGTGTCTGAGGTGGGAGGTCCTTAGGAGCAAGCGGTCTGCTGGAGTCAGTAGGCACCTGTTCATACTTCCTTGTTGAGAACTTTCAGTGTCTAGTTTCCTCACTGTAAGATAGGAAGCTGCATATTAATGAGGTGAGATGTTCAGTTAATGAGGCTGACAACAAGCAATAATCCCTTTTAAAAGGCAGTTTTCTGCTACATATCAAAAATTTCATCTCAATGCCCAGAACGCAGTTGGAAAATGCAACTGATTGCCCCAATGCCAAGTTAGCCTCATTCAAATTCTCATGCAATTCTCCAGATTTCTCAATACAACCCATGTCGTTCACACTCCCACAAGGTTCTACCCCAAGATTAAGAAGGAGACTTAACCAGTAGATCAATCACCTTTGAGATCCAGACCTATTCTCCCACTGAAGTCTCTGTGACATCATCACATTGGATGGTGTCCAGTGCACACTTCAGCATTAACCCTTTCAGCTATTAATGCCTTATACAACATCTTTACCTGAATATTTCCCTTAAATGGCCATACTTTTTCCTATTAAGGTCCCACATTCATACCTGTCATCCTTGGTCCAAATGTGTCAACCATCATGTATGGTGACATCTACTGTAGTGAGTAGCTGCTGCTCCCACTAAGAATTACATTTCTTTTATTGTCCCATGGACTTACTTGTGGGGTCAACTTCATTGACTGGATCAAAAACAAGTCTATAGTTTTATTTTACCTATCAGCAATTCTGATGGAGGTAGTTTACACTTAAGTGGGATAGATGGGTTGTTGGGGAGAGATGTCAAAGAGCAACCTTGAGTTCTGTGTTCAGAAATACAATCGATCTTTATTCAAGCTCTTTACCACACGTGCAGGAGAGGCCAGAGACCACTCTGAATGTGGCCTTTACGTGGGACCCAGTCACCCTCTTAATATCCAGCTCAGAGGAAGAGGGGGTCAATGACCCTCTGATTTCCCCAATGGGATACAGCATTTTTATACATTTCATGTTACAATAATTACATGCAACATTGTCATTGTTCCTTCCCCTTTAATCTACATATCCAATCCTGTGAAACACCTGATCAGTGATGGGGCACCCCTATGGACTAGGTTCCTCATGATCTCATGATGTTTACCAGACATTGTAATCATCAGGCCTTGGGATCTTACAATGCATCCCATTAATTCACATTCCAAAGTTAGTGGTTATATTCTTTTTCAGAAATGTCCCAGACTTGCTTATGTCTAAGGGCTGCTCGAATTCTTTTTTTTCATTTTATTTGATGCAATCCCTGTCAGACCCTGTTATTCATCTTATATTTCCCACTGCCCTAATCACAAGAGATACAAAACAAAGTCAGTTATTACTCATTGCTATAAGATTCATAATAGCAGTTCAACTACAAAGTTAGTTATATGTAAAGTTTTATGTTTACACCTACTGTAAACATTCTTTACTTAATGAGTTGAGAGCAGTTTTGGTCCCACCTGACCTTGAAGGTTCAGTGAGACACTGCCCCTCTATCTTGCAGCTGCATTGTAATGCATTCTAGTCACTTACTGTCTTCTGAGATGAAATTTACTGCCCTTACTCTAACACTTTTTCATTGATAAGAGTGAAACTCAATCACTTTCACAACTCAATAAACTTGTATGATCTCCTAGATTTTTACAAGACATAATCCCAACCTTATCGTTTGTCTCCATTATTGTGGGATCCTACTTTTCATTTTCATGCTTGCTACAAACTTCAGGTTGTCTGTTCTCACACATCTCTTATCGAGTTGTCTCCTACACTCATCTGCAGTATTTTTTTTACAAAACTCCCTGTATGTTAATTTGTAAGATTCTTTGTTCAAAGTAGACCCTGTTACCTTGAGATAACTCCTTCACAAAGCTATCACTGTGCTAACTTATGGCCTCACTTTAATGCTGGATCTGGCAAGCTAATTCTGTTACTGCAGCCATATTTATGCCAATGGGCAAATGTATTGTGCCACCTTTGACCAGGTGCTGCCCCAAATTAGGTAATTTAGCAACACTATAAAAGTTAGCATTTTTTTTAGTCAAAAGTGGCTTAACTGCCAGGGCCCCACACTCAACTTCCCTATTTGGTTATGTGTACTGCAGCAAGCTTGTGATATGTTCAAATCCAGACACTGCAATAGGATGAAGCACTTGTTAGAAAGCTGTAGTCCATTATCTTACATGACCTTGTCTGGGATTCCAAGGGTTGCGAACAATTTATGCAAACCCTGTAACTTCAATTGTAGTGATGATCCATAACTTGTACAGTGTGAAAAATGACAATGAGATAAGACCTACTGCCAAACATGGAAAGGTCTGGTCTAATGTATTCCCATGACCTAGTGGAGAAAATGGTGAGGCTCACACCACTTGCGTTTGTGGATAACTCAAATTTCACAACTGGCTATGAGATGATTCTGCTTAACTAGCCAACGCTATCATGCTATAAATTACATCTTGTTATTAAGACAAGTGTTTCCTTTCATTAAGACTCTCTCGTGATTTGTCCTCAAACACTACTAACCAAATTAGTCCTTATACATAGCAGAAAAGGAGGATTGGTGTCAGCACTTTATCTAAATCATAAGCTGCCAGTAGTTGGTTCCACAAATAAATGACACTTTTCATGGAAACACAGGAAATATAACACTGATCCTTTTATACCCTCTCAATGGACCATCCAAGGCCCCACACACTCCTTAAAGTAAAAGCTATGATTTACACATCTTTCTTTTAAACTAGTGTACTGTATTCATTGCTCAAAGTGTAGTCTCCTCTACATCAAGAATACCAAACACCGATTAGAGAATGACTTTGAGGAACGTCCATTCAATCTGAAGCTTCACCTCTAGCTTCCATTGGTCTGTCGATTTAATTCTCTGTCTTGCTGTCATGCTGGCATTTCTCTGGTACTGTACCAGTGAAGCTCAAAATAAGCTTGAGGAACAGCACCTCATCTTTAAATCAGGCACTTTATATCCTTCTGGAATTAACATTGAGTTCAACAATTTCAGACCTTAATTGCTCATTTTTGTTTTCTTGCGCTGTATTTATTATTCCAGTCAGCAGCACACCTATTCTAGGCACATCTGAAATCGCTTTGTTTATTTTCTTGACCATCACCATTCCCCTTGGCCCTGGAGACTAACTCTTCTGTCATTCAGTCTCACCTGACTTCACCCATATATAGATCTTCATTTTTACTCTCGTACACTTACCCCTTGCTCCTGACTTATTACCAACTTTTTCTTTATTATTCATTAATTTTTAAAAAAAGTTGGTAATAAGTAAGAAGCAAGGGGTAAATGGACAAGAGTTAAAATGAAGATCTATGTACGGGTGAAGTCAGGCGAGACTGAATGACAGAAGAGTTAGTCTCCAGAGCCAAGGGGAATGGTGATCGGTCAAGAAAACAGTTCTGACGAAAGGTCACAGACCTAAATGTTAACTCTTTTCTCTTTGCAGTTGTTGCCATAATCTGCTTGTATTTTATATTTTTTCATTGTACAAACCTGTAATTTACACAAGTGGTTCTTCAATCTACCAGGAAATAGTCTGAGCAAATATGGTGGCATGAGGTTGGATAGGAATTATTAAACTACCTTATTTAACATCAAGTGAACGCATAAGACAACTGCTATATTCAGACCATTTACTTGAACCAGTATAATGTGTGTTTAAATGAAATTAACAATGAATATGACATGTCACTCATATCAGTCCATCAGCTTACTTGATGTAAATTTATTTTTCAACTCCTCTCTTGTGTGCACCATCCTTCTTGTAGATGTTTGCTGCCTGACTACTCTCATTCTGAGGGAGGGTCACCAGACCCAAAACGTTAATTCTGATTTTTTCTTCACAAATGTTGGCAGACCTGCTGAGCTTTTCCAGCAACTTTGTTTTTGTTCCTGATTTACAGCATTTTTCGGTTTTTATTGACTACTTGAGGGTATTTTCAAGTTAAGTTGAAAGTAAATCCTGCAACATCAGCTCAACCATCTGTTAAACAATTCTGATTTTAATTTTCATTCATCACAAATGAAATAGAAGGAATTCCAACCCCTTTGTCTTTTTGCCTTTCCTGGAAGTGCTGCAAAACATGAGTATCTCATAATCACAAGCAATAACAGTTTTGTGGACTTATTCATTAAAGATAATAATTGATGATCATGCTTAGTAACATACATTGTTGCCTGCTAAGCCACAGATAGGTGACCTCAGTGATCTCTCCCTCTCCTAATCTTGTGGTAGTGGAGGTTGAATTTAAGGAATATTTTTGAATTCAGTGGAAAGTTTGATAAGAAAAATGCAAACCACTGGTCAGAAGAGTTAAGCTCAGTAGCTTTGTTGATTTGCCATAGTTCATTAAGTAATAAACATAAATATCATCTATTAAAGACAAGTCATACAATAAAAGTTTAGGATTTTAACTTACCCCTTTCTGTTTCTTTCCAGCATATCTAACTCAGTTTTCTGTTCATACAGTTGATTCAGAATGGCATTCCTCTTACGGTCAGCAGCAGCCTGCATCTGCTCTTTGTAAAGGTTATAAGCAGCTTGCTTTTGTTCTTCTAACTTTCCAACTGGCTCAGAATTACCAAAGATTGGTTCAAAGGAATCAGGTACTGATGCTGGTAATTGACGTGGTTTCTCTTTTCTCTAGATATAGAAGGAATGATTATTACATATATGAATATATACATAATATATTATTACATATATGAATAATATGAATTACCTGCAGCCAAATAGTCAATAATCAGCAGATTTTAAGTCAAAAGTAATTAACAATAACCATACAAGGCAGAATTCCAACTGTTAAAGTGGGAGAAGGTGATGGCTTAAAAGGCTGGAAAATACTGTTGAGTTGAAAACTTGGCATGATCCCATCAACGTTTGTCAAGTACCTTTGGAAGGGAGTGACAAACCGTAATTTTCCCATAGGTTCAATTATTAAAAATGCAAATGAGCAGTTTATTTATGGCTTTTATCCAGTTTACTGCTTTAACAATCAGCGCTTGAGTTTCCCAAGGCACGTGAAGAAGCAGGGTAAACAAGACAAGAGCTTTGCCGAAAGTCATTTAACATTGATGCTGACAGACTGAGATCCTTTAAACAATGAAACTACAGAGCTGTAGGCTTGCCGATGTGAAAGGCTTGTGCTCCCAGGATCTGTTCTGAAAGCCTCATTTCTCAGTTCAAAAGGTGATTATTAACATTTTGCAAGTCATTTCATCCACCTTGCAAACCCTCTGCATAGCCTACTCACTCACTTGGGACACCTTACCACCTTTTGCATATTTGCTCCAGCACAAACAGATGTGACACCCATTCAACTCATCTCAAGTTGTACCATGGATCAATGGCTGTATTGAGAGCCTGCTGCAGTTATCTAGAAGCAAGATTAAAAAGGCGTATACAAGTAATGGTTCCTGCTGACACCATCAACCCTCTTTCCTCAGCCTGTGTCCAAAAAACGATGGTGTAAATAAGATGGTCAGCATGGCTGGGGCCGGGAGCTGTGCAGCATACAGAGAAGCAATGCATTAGGATACCCAAGGATAAGGGACCCCGCAGGTCTGTCTCCTGCACAGTGCATGGGTTGGTGTATAATGTGTTGTTTCCTTTTAACATTACTGGATCTTGCAGGTCTCTCCCTTACAGTTGAGCAAATTATTCTGTCCAGTCCTACTGTGGTTGCAGCTGATTTCTTCCTCATTGCGCACTTTTAATTTTCAGCATAATGGAAGGTGACAATGAGTGCTCCTAGGACAGTAGTTTCCAGCTTTTCATTCTATGTGTCCATGAGCTTCCAAACATTCTGGTAGCCCTTCCCATGAACCCCATAGGCTGTGTACCTTCCCAAGTCCCCACCCAAACAGACTACACAGCCTGCACCTGCCACCTTTGCCCCCAGCCTCTGGCATATGAGGTGACCATATAAGGTGTGATCACACATTGTACCCCCTCCTTGATGCTAGGGGACTCCTGACCATGGACAAACCCCACTCCCACATGACCTCCTTTCAATCTATGTTTTACCTTATATCCCTTATAGATAATGTTGACCCCCCACCACGACTTTCTTCAGCCTGCAGCCCTTAGTCCCAAAGGCTAACTTTCCAACTCTCCTTCCCACAAACTCTCTTGTTCTCCTTCCATCCCACTTTATCCTTGGTTTCTCTGGATGGACCCACCAAGACTGACGGTGGCTCATCCCTTGAGTGATCTAACCTGAGGAAGAAGTGCCCAGACTAGTGGTGTATTAGTGGTGTACAAATCTCCCAAAAGGGTTAGCCATACCACCAGAATGCCTGCTATGGAGCAACAGTACTGATCACGATCCACTTCCCAGTCTCCATAAGGCATGGACTGCCTGACTGAGAACACCCGGATCAGATCCCTGACTGTGACCAATACCCCAACTAGGAGGATATGTGTTAGCCCTTGACTTACTGTTTGGGGACCCCCAGACTGTTGGGTGGCTTCATGGACTTTGGTGAAGACTACTCCCCTGAGACTTTGAGATATCACTGCTTGCTAAAAGCATATGCAGTGTGTTTGCTGTGTAAGCTGTTGTCACATGGTTCAGGTGTGAGATTGATGTAATATACTGTCATACAGCTCTTAAATAAGGACTGTTGACCAGCAAAGGAGCTGCCTGATTGTGTGACTGCACTAATTAGCATGGCAAGGCAAGGTAAGCATGGTGCAAACATGCATCTATGTACTCTGTGATCGAGTGCTAAGAATGCAAGCAAGCAGCCCTGCTGTGCAGCCAGGTCCAAACTTAGAACTAGGGCCCTGTTCATAAGCACAAAGTGTCCTTGCAGCAGTCTTTCAATGTTAACTGTCTGGTGTTTATGCTTCCTACACAGCTTGCAATTGTATCAGAAATAGGCCATGATGGTCACGAGAGGAAGGCAAATTCTGGATTTCAATATCCAAGGATGAGAGGTACGTGCAGCTGGTGCCTGTGGATTATGCCCTAAGATATTGTCTGGTCCTAAGCATTATGGAAGTCCTTTGAATCAAGCAGCAAGCTGAAGTTACCAGGTATCTGCTCTGATTTCCATGGTTGGGCTTTCACCATTTCTAGCTTGTTTGGTGAGATAGGATGCTGAATATTAATGAGGTGAGTTGAGCCATTAAGAAAGAGTTTAAGAAGCAATAAACCCCCGAAGTTGGCAATTTGCTACTGTCTAGTGAAGAAAGCACCATGCCCCTTTTCAAACAAGACCTATAAGATCTCACCCATTATCATGTTGAAAATCTAGATTGTATCCATGAGTCCATAAATGCCCCATACAAACAACTTGACCTCAAAAGCTAATCTCAGTAAATACTTAAACGGAAAACATAAATGCGACCCTGGGTGGTTTGCAGAAAACTTTCTGTTGCTGGTGTCTTACTGATCTCATATGGTAAAATAAGTTGAAATTGGAGGTTAGGGCCTGCTTCCTTATCTTGTCTGGGGGGAAAGTGTTGGAGAGCAAAAAACAGAGGTGGGAACTCCAGTCATGCCTCTCAGCAGCTACTTTATTTGCAGGCTCACCACCGATTCTGTCTAATTTTGGGATGGAAAATTCCAATCCTGGTGTTTGTATTCACGATCCATTTTCTTATTTTCTCCACCCCATATATGCAGAGAGTCAGATAAATATTTAAGTAAGTTATCCTTATTTTATCAGGTAAGGTAAGCTCATCTTCTGTTATGTTTGATCATGGTCCTTGCAAAATTTATATCTTTGGCAATGTTTTGCACTAATTAGGAGGGATCATATTGACAATAGAATACTTATTGCTATTAGCTTCTAGTAGTAGCATCAACTGTCCAGTTCAGGCAGCATATGGGTGCTATGGGTCACCAAACATGGCAGAAGCAGGCATGGCAACAGCGATATTGACACAAGGCAGGAAATTTTGCTTTGGTGTATTTTTTACTGAATTAGATGTCATATTTCTGTAGTATATTGTCTTTGTACCTTCAATGAATCTTACATAGATGTCTGAACAGACACTAGTTATTACCATGCTCCTGTTATATATGCACATATTTATTAATTATTCACCTGTGTATCCAATGCTTTCTTGTAGGCCTCTATTTGTTCATGCTTCTCCTTTTGATAATACTGCCTTTGGACAGCAAGACTATAAAACAAAAGACATTTCTTAGAAAAAAATATTTTGGACCAGTTTGTAATTTTACATTAGACAAAATGCAGTTCAAAATTGTTCAGAAATCTCTCCGAGAATTCCATACACAATAAAAAAAAATAGGAAAATAAGAACACCAAACAAAAATTTGGGAAGTTTACTAAAGAGATTGGGCATAAATTTATAGATGGCCAGTCAACAGATTGATAAGAAGCCTATCCCATAGCCATACCACACTGTGGGTGGCCTAAATTGTTAAAATTGGACTTCCACAGTCCCCAGTGAGAGGAAGGTCAACCTCCTGGGGCTGCTGGCCAATCTGATTGACTGGCAGTCCTAACAGAACCAGAGCTCAGTTGTGGCCACTGCCAGAACAGCAAGCAGTCCCAGGATGAAATACCCATTGGACCCAGCTAACTTGGGGCATAGAATGGAGAGAATTCATGGTACTTTTCATGTCCCTCTAGAGGGGTGAATAAAATCCAGCACGTGGTCAAGAAGTCAGTTCTGATGAAGTTTTTAAAGGCAAAGATCAGAGAGATACAAGAAGTCAGAAGATTTTTGGAAGAAAATTCAAGAGTGCATGAATGCAATGACTAAAATCTTTGCTGTGATGGTAGAGCAATGAGGATACATCAGGATGCACAAAACGAAGTTAGAAATTTAGATCATGCAGGCTAGAACATGAGGTTGAAGGAAGTCACAAAATTAAAATAGATTGACACTATATAGAGAATTATAAAAGGAGAATGAGAATTTTTTAAATCAATACAGTGGGAGTGGGACCCAGTGAAGATTAGCGAAGATAGAGGTAATAAATGATAGGAACTTTGGATGGAATAGAAAAGATCCCAATAGTTTTTTATTATGGAAATGAATCTATACAGCAAGCAATCTAAGGAGGTAGCTTACAATTATCATTATGTTTCAGTTATGAGGTTTATAATGTCATTATATTTTGGGACTATAGCTTTACATTTAGGGTAAATGAATGGGTTCATATGACCTGTGGTTTTGTTTTATTTTCAATGGAATGTGGACATCACTGGCTGACGAGCATTTTATTGCCTGCCACTCATTATGCTTGAGAAGGTTGTGGTGAACTGTCTTCTTAAATCTTTGCAGTCCACATGCTGTAGGTTGACCCATAATGCCCTTAGAGAGGGAATTCCAGGATTTTGACACAGCGACAGTGAAGGAACAGTGATATATTTCCAAATCAGGATGGTAAATGGTAGGAAGGGAACTTGTAGGTGGTGATGTTCCCATGCATCTGCTGCTGTAGTCCTTTCTAGATGGAAGTCGTCATGGGTTTGGACAGTGCTGTCTAAGAATCTTGGGTGAGTTTCTGCAGTACATCTTTATATATAGTACACACTGTTGCTTCTGAGCGTCAGTAATGGAGGGGGTGGATGCTTGTGGATGTGGTGCCAAATGAAGTCTGCCTTACACAAATCTTGGTGATTTGACTGTTCAAGATCAAAGGAAGGTTTAGTTTGTCTTACTCCGAATGTATTTATGCTGGGAGATAATGACAACAGTCTTTGATTTACAATGAGTAGACTTTGACATCCCAAAGTCCGGGAAAGATGTTGGAGGTATTGGGGTTAAACAATTGTGTTGTAAAGTGTACATTTACTTCTAAGATGAATGGGAAACTGGATCAAGAATATTCAATGGTTTATAACCCCCTGGGGGAAGACGGCCAGGAAACCACTTTGGGATCAGGCTTCCTTTAAAATCAGTAAATATTTCAGATAGGAGTTTTTGTATGGTCAGCTAAGATATAATCTGCTTAGTTTTGTGAGCTGCCATTGCCAGATATGTAAGGGAAGCAGTCTCCAGTAAAAGAGATGTAAACCTTAGCCATCTAAGGCTTTCTGGATATTCATTCTGGCATGGCTGGGAGAATCATCTTAGCAGGTTTTACTGCTGATGGTGGGTTTGAGGATTTCTCTGAAAATTGGAGGAAATTGGAGATGGTCTCTTAATGTTATTTGACCAAATGTAAATGTAGGAAACCATTGGAAACAGCCTTGGAATTGACTAAATAGAATTTAGTCAACACGTTTTCAATAAAACTCCTAAAACTTGAAATTTTGTGGTGCCATTCATTCAGCTATCAATTGGAAGTTCAAATATCTTGTTAAGAGTTATAGATCTATATGGAAATCACAATAATCAGCACAACTATGAAAGTAAATTGTTTTGAAAATTATAACATTTTTGAATAATTTATTCCAATTTCACCCTCAGCTGACCATTCTAGTCCCTTCCAATGTTCCTGTTCATTCATTTGAAATTATGCAAGATCAGTGCTGAAATATGTCATCCATTTTCTGGGTATGACAGAGTTCAATGATTTAAAAAGGTGGTTCACTATTATCACTATTATCTTCTAATGGGTGATTAAATGTGGGACATCTGAATGACTTCTAAATCTTATGAATGAAATAAAAGGGGACTTTTTTTCCTACATCATGTCTACTTGCCTTCATGGTAGAATTGCAAACTTGATGCATATAGCCTACATCTCAACAATAAATTGAAGCAACCTACTCTTCAGCCAACTGAACTTGTTCCAAGCGATCCATAAACTCTTCATCCTGTCTCTTTTTTTCCTCTCTTCGCTTTTTCTCTTGAATCTGTTCAGTTAGACATTGTGCATACTGCTGTTGTTTCAGAAAGACTGGTGGTGTCAAGAGTCTGTTTTGAAATATATATCCTTTCTGAAAGCAAAGCCCGAACATTTTTCTAAGATATATTATACATAAATAACAAATTTTCAATGTTGTATTAAATTTATTACTTTTCAAAATTGTAATTTTTAAGAAGCAAAAGCATATCTTTCAACAATTCTTTTGTAAAAAAATAAATACAAATTACGTTGCCAAAGCAGATACATACAATTGTTAGAAATGTAATGAAAACCACGGTTTGAACACCAGGAGATGTGCTTAATTGCATATATTCAAAAGAATTGATGTTGTATGCAATAAATGCCTGTGCACACAAGATCCTGCTGTCTCAACTTGAAATCATTGATAAATATTTAAATAATATTGTTGTGTTTTAAAAGCTCAATTTACAATGCAAAATGTATTTATAGTAAATCAATATGGGCTAACAACTTCTGCATTAATTTACTAATTTTATACTTGAGGGAGGTGATACCATTGTGGTGTTATCACTAGACTAGTAATTCAGAGACCCAGTTAATGCTCTAGGGACCTGGATTCCATAGCATATGGCAGAATTTGCAAAGTGTTTGGAATTATGACTTACAAATCTAATAATGACCATGAAACCATTGTCAATTGTCATAAATAGTTTGGTTCATTAATATCCTTTAGGGACCAGGGATATTTGTGCAGCTTCCTTTTAGGGAATGAAAACTACCACCCTTACCTGGTCTGGCCTACATGTCACTCTAAATTTATAACAATGTGATTAAACCTTAACTGCTCTTTTTCAGTTGTATCAAACTACTAAAAACTCTCCTAAAACGGAATGAAACCAGATGAACCACTGGTATCAACATATGTAGCAGCAAAAATGCAACAGCAAACTTAGCCATGTTAGTCTCACAAATTTCTCCTTGTTGACATCTGGGGCCAAGTGCCAAAATTGGGAGATTACTCAAGCAACAGCCAATATCATCAGACTTCAGAATCATACTTTGCTGACAAAATACCAGACAACACTATCACCATCCCTGGGTATGTCAGAACATACTCATGTGCAGAACAAACTCTGCAGAGGTGAGAACAGAGTGTTATACAGTCAGGACGGAATTATCTTGGAGTCGTCAACATTAACTCTGGACAACCTCAAATTATGAATCAGTACTCCTTCATGTTGAGCAGTACTGGGTAGTATCAATGAGGATTGCAAAGGTGGCAAATGTATTCTGGGTGGGGAACTTCAATGTCTATCACCAACAGTAGCACAGCAGCACCAGTACTGACCAAGCTGGTTGAGTCCTAAATAACATAGCTGCTAGACTGGGTCTGTGGCATGTGGTGAAGGAACCAAGAGAAGGAAAAATATTTTTGATCTCATCTTCACCAATGCATCTGTCTATGACAATATTGGTAGGAATGACCAGCGCACAGTCCTGTGGAGACAAGGTGCTGTCTTAACAGTGAGAATACACCCTATTACGTTGTGCGGGATTACCACTGTACTAAATGGGATAGATGCTGAACAAGGTTGGGCATCCATGAGATGCTTTGGGCCATTATCAGTAGCAGAATTATACGCTAACACAATCCACATCATGTATTCCCTACTCTAAGATCAACCTTAGTTCAATAGAGTGATAAGAAAGACATGTCAGGTTCTCACACTCACACACACACACACACACGCGCGCACACACACAAACCTATTCTATGGGGTGAATAATTTCATTCAAGATGTTTGTTTATTTGCAAATACATTCTATTTTGTAAAAGAAACACATAATTTGTAGTCATAGTCAGTTTGTGTGGCATTTTATAAATTATAAAAACAAAACCAGCCTGATTCCAGGTTAAAACTCCGACACAGACTCTGGACAAAACCTTTCACCTGCAGTTCAGTATCTGACCTTAGATGTCACCTATTGTATATTCTTATCACTCTGCCTGTTTGAAGTTCGGAAAGTTTGGCAGATACTGATAAAACCTTTAATTATCTCGGGGCAGTGACTTGAAACAGGTTCTGGCATTTGCATCTTAATCAATTGAAACTAACAGAGTTCTCCATATCCTGCTTCTGCAAATTCTAGTCTGCGGCAATGTATGAATGATTAAAGATTCAACAGGAGGCAGTCAGTCAGCCATTTTAGGTTTGTTCACTCCACTCACACCAGTTGTATGATCCTTTGATCTCCTGCCCTTCATCTCTGTGCCTATAAACTCTGTGTTTGTGTGTTCTCCTCTCACTGCACCTGATACAAGAAAGCTTGTGATTTCAAATAAACCTGTTGGACTGTAACCTGATGTTGTGTGATTTTTGACTTTACCTACTTGTCTGGATGTGAGCAGCTCCATCAACAATCAAGAAGCTTAACATCATCCAGAATAACATTGTCTGCTTGATTGCACCACATCTGCAAACTCTCAATCTCTCCACCACTGACCCACTGTAGCAGCAACATATACCAGCTACAAGATAGACTGTAGAAATTCATTGAAGTTCCTTTGTCAGCACCTTCCAAGCCTATATGACCACTACCACATAGCAGGACAAAGATTGCAGGTACATGGAAACACCACCAACTGCAAGTTCCCCTCTAAGCAACCTACCATTCCGGACTTGGAAAAACTTCTGTGTTACAGGATCAAAATCCTGGAATACCTTCACTGATATCATTGTGGATGTTTTTGAACCAAATGAACAAAAGCAGTTCAAGGTGTAGGTTAACCAAGATCTTTTCAAGGGCAACAAGGTATGGGCAAAAAAGCCACATCAATAAATGAATAAAATAAACAAAAAATGTCCAAATGATGTTTGAAGAATGTTCAAAGCTGGATTGGCTTTGGCAATTGCCTTGGTACATCTGGAACAGTCATTAAGTTCCTTGCACACATTAATAAAAGACTTCATAACTATTTCACAACCTTAAAACAAAATCATGCAGGACTGAGCACAGAATGCCTTGTATCCTTCAGTTTTCAGGATTTTCTGCAGCTCAACTAGCAGTCCTGAAGGAAAGTACTGGAGGCTGACAGCATAAAGGTGAGTTCTTAAATTTCAACTTATCTTTATATTCAACTGTAGGCCACTGCTAATAGGTATTCTCCCCTCTTCCCCCTTCTATTCACACCCTCTCATTCTACTTTAGCATTGCTGCCAATATTGCAGGTGGCCTAAATTGGTGGCTGCAAATACTCTAAATAGCATCTAGATGCCCAAACAGCTTCTGTGACTTGAGGAAATGGAGTTGAATTTGTTCAAGGCCTGATTTAAGATAAAACTCAAAGAACTGATCAGACTTGTAGCTATCAATGCTTCGGTAAAGAGTTTGAATCAGAACACTTCACAAGATTTCCAAGATCTCACTGAGATACATCAATCTGTGATAATAACCACCAGAAGCACCTCCAGAAAGTAAATTTGTTAGGTCCATTTACAGGTGCACAGCAGATGCTGTACTTTCAATAAGTTCCTAAACCAAAACCCAAGGGTTATCCTAAAGTTTAGAAGTCTTCAAGCCTCATTCTAAAAATTATAGTGGTATCTGTTGCACCTCCAGAGGCAGCTTGCCCATGTGGTTGCATAAAACTTGACTCGACTCTGATTCATTGAATTGCTGCCATGGAAATGCACAAGGAAGCTATTGTTCCCAAAATTTTATTTACTTCAAAAAAGACACAATGTCTGGATATGTTCCTTTCTCCTACAGAGAACAGGTTCCTAATTATGAATAAATGTGGCTTTAAGCAAACATAAGTGAGTCATAGTCCAAGCCTGACTGATATTCTTAAATTGGTTGTTAGTGTAATTCTTAGTACAATTCAATTTTCAAACTGTCAAACTCTCTACCCCGGCCTAGTTCCAGCAGAATTTCTTCATGAATCACAAAAATCTTAAACACAAAGGATAGTTTGTGTCATTTTTCCCATTGAAAAGTCATTGGATATTCACTTCGAAATATTTACGTTTTGGTTCTTTATGATTACAGGTAAAACATACTTAAAGCAAGTAATTCCAGAAACAGCGCCTTCATACACTTACATAAGAGTCTCTGCACTTTGAATTCTTCTTTCTCTTTTTGGCTTCAGCGACTCCCATATTGAATGCTGAAATCTTTTGGTTGATTTCTCTGTTGGCCAACATTTCACACTAAAATATAACAGAAATACATTAACTACAATTAAAACAAAATGGAGAAAACATTGCCACTTAAAGTACACAAAATTAATTATTTCCTGTGTGCATGTAGTCAATAGCGAGTACACAGTCACCATTAGGCTAACTTCTAATTCCATATTTTATTGAATTCAACTTTAATCATATCGGGGGCAAATTTAAAGTGTGAAGGGAGAGGTTTAAAGGATATGCAAGGGTGGTAGGTGGCTGGAATGCACTGCCAAGGGGGGTGGTAGAAGCAGACATGATAGCAATGTTTAAAAGGCAGTTGGACAGACACATAAACAGGCAGGGAATAGAGGGATAAGGACCTCATTCAGGCAGGTGGGATTAGTTTAGAATGGCATTGTGGTTGGCACAGACATGGTGGGCCAAAGAGCCAGTTCCTGTGCTGTACTGTTCTATGTAAGCCATAATGACAAAAATGCACTGTCTTTAATCATGCAGATAATCATTTTGCTAAAAGATGAGAATATATAAAAGGCAATATTAATGTTGTGAGCAACTGTCTCCACAAGTTCATTAAATGTCACTACATTTTATACAAAGACTATTACTTAGACTAAAATTTCCTCATGATACCGGATTTCCAGCTGTCAGTGTGTATTTAAAGTTCAACATTATAAGAAAATTATCACTGAATTACAGCATTTGATGGAATTTAATGCCCAATCTTTTGGTAGGTTTGCAGGTTTTGGGATGTGGGCTGTATAATTAGGTAGGAAGGTGCAGGATGAAGATTCCATCATATTCCCACCCCACGCTAATTTAGTCCATGATGAGACAGCTTGAGGGTGGCCTCTCCTCTAACTGAGGCTTTTAGTGGCCAGATAAGGTCACTGAAGGGCATCAAGCATCATCACTGATATTTAGCCAGAGTAAGACTCCTCCCAAAGTTTTGTACTTTAAATCAAACCCACTCCCCCTTAATCACTATGGCCTTCCTGTCTGACCTAGGTGAACCAACCCCATACATCTGTTGTCTGGAGAGTTACTTCCTGGGAGCCAGAAGGCCTGATGACAAGCAGGGAGTGCTTGATTGGAATTTAATCCCATACGGCCTCCCAGAATGACCACAGTCATGTTTCCAGGTGGTGGGTCTGTTGTGACCATTTAGTTATACCCATTACGTTCAAATGAAGGATAAGCAACAGTTCTATTATATTTTTGTCAATTACACCAAAAGTTCTGGCATAATCAAATAATCTAACTACTTTTCATTCAATAAATTGTCATATGATAAAATTGCACATATCAATGCTGATATTCAGTTTTTTCTACAAGTAAGAAGAAATATCAGAGTTCCAATGTTCCAAATGGCAAATATGAAATTTTGCTAATTGCTTGTCACTTAAGTTTATCAAGTATCTGCTAGGATTTTATATATTTAAACATTACTCCATGCTAAAATGGCTGATCTATATTCCATCTGCCAAATTTTTGCCCACTCACTTAACCTGTCACTATTTCTCTGAGGACTTGTTCTATCATCTTCACTACTTGCCTTCCTACCTATTTTTGTGCCATTGCAAACCTGGTGATAGTACATTCATTTCCCTCCATCCAAGTCAAGAATATATATTGTAAACAATTGTGGCCTAAGCACTGATCCCTGTGGTACGTCACAATGTGCAGGTTGACCATCCTGAAAATGTCCCCCTTATCCAAACTCTATCTTTTATTAGTTAGCCAACCTTCCAATCATACTACAAGGGTAACTCCCCCCACAGTTACACCAAGTAGGAGTTCTGTTATATGTGATGTGTGGCATTCTAGCAAAGCGTGTTGTCAATTAGCTGGAGATGATTCACCCAAGCCTTCAAAAACAGTGATGCCATGAGTAGGTAAAAGAATGGCCCAATTCTCTGCTATTTAAATAGTCTGGTGTCCCATACTGGTTGATGCACATGAGCACACAGAGCAAAATCAAAGACTCCTGTGCCCTGTCTGCCAAGCTTGTAATATGCTACTCATAACAATTACCATGTGTATTTTCCAAGGATGCCAGGATATCTCTTAACTTCTTCAACCCCAAAACCATGGATATTTTCAACTTCATTACTTCCATGTGAGTATCGATCATGTCATAAACTACCAGAAATCCCAGGTTATGAAAATTGTGATTGAGATCAGATAGGACGAACTCAATATAGCCATGATAGAGAATGTCCAATACCTGCAAAGCAGACACGTGAATGAAGGAAGCGATATCAAACAACTTACAATCCCCAGCAGGATTCTAATGGAAAAACTGGTGAGTTAATTGCTGATACTTCCACCCCTGTTTCAATTAAGCATATTTCTACCTCGTGAAATTTCACACTCATTGTAGGGCAGTCCATGTTGCTACACATAAAACCTCACCCTGACCTGGCTCTCAGTGGAAGGGCAAATTAATTTAATATCCATGAAGAAGGGAGGGGAGTTGCACTGGATGGAGTCCCTGTGCCTAATGGCAGTGGTGACCATGGTTGATGATGGCAGTCTCATTAGAAGTGCCTCCTCATGGATGTTTCTATCCCTCCCTGATTCTGCTGGGGTGTCCTTCAGTATCATGTCCCTAATCAATTTGAAGGAGAAATGCAGCAGTACAATATGATTCAGTAGATCCAGGGTCACAGCAACCAGTCCTCCCCTTTGGCTTGCTGTACTCATTAAACCTCTACCGTAGCTGTGTCATGTTACTGCTATAGCCAAAACTCCTTGTCAATACCTCAAAGATCCAATGTAGACTTCTTCGAACATCTGTACTACTCTCCACAGGATTTCCCGCATAGATGTTTCATCATGATCATTGCCTGCTCATGCACATTGAAGCCCCTGGATGCCATAACCACCTGTGCATCCTCAATCCAGTCTTCAACTACCAGATCCTTGGATATTTCTGTTCTATCCACGAATCTGTCCAGCTTCTTACTCATCAACATGTAGAATATTTGACCAGGAGAATCATTTCTTTCCTCCATTGTGTTAAGGGGATGTATTTAAGAGCCTCTGCCTGAGTTTGGCATCTTCTTCAGATTTTCTGAAGAAGGGTCTAGGCCTGAAACGTCAGTTTTCCTGCTCCTCTGATGCTGCTTGGCCTGCTGTGTTCATCCAGCTCTGCACTTTGTTATCTCAGATTCTCCAGCATCTGCAGTTCCTACTATCTCTCCCATTTATATAACACAAATAATAAGAAAAATAATTAAAACTTAGTCTCTCAAAGTCTACATGCCTTTCTTCTGCTGTTCTCTAGTCATAAATGCCTTTCTTCAGCTGATCTAGCTGTCAGCGATGATTTCCCCGTGAAGACTTCTGTGAGGATTCTTGGTTGAAGTGCCATGGTATCTTTTATGGATAGATGGTGCTTTCTTAGAGAGCTCAGTGATTTCTTGTGAGAGCTAGATGCTTATTTCTCAGATGGTGGTTTGCTCTCACATCGATTTTCAAAAACCCTCTCCTTATATACCTTGGATTACATATCAATTTTCTTAAAATCATCAGATTTAAATTCAATTGGCTTTCAAATGCTAAGTGCTTAGTTTAAATTATTTGTTTGATTCCAGCTAGTTGCCAAAACATCAAAACACACCTAAGGTTTCCAATCACACAACTAATTGATACATGTTTAAATTTCAGAACTGGCTGTATATCTTCAGCTACATACAGACATTTTTTTCTGTATAAATCTCTAAGCTTAGAAAAGCACTTTACCTCTTAAAGAGACTACGCACTCTTCCCCTCCACCACCTTATCTTTTTTGTACAAAGAAATTCGAGCTTCCTGCCTTCCAATTCACAATTACTCTACACAACTTCGTAACAAAGATGTCATTAAGAGTGCAATCAAGCAGTATCTGCTCAGCAATAACTTGCTGAGTAACACCCACTCAGCTCCTGATCTTATTACAGACCTTGATTCAAACATGGACAAAACAGGTGAATTCCAGAGGTGTGGTGAGAGCGAGGGCCCTTGATATCAAGGATCCATTTGACTGAGTGTGGCATCAAGGAACTCGAGCAAAACTGGAATCAATAGGTGTCAGGAGGAAAACTCTCTGCTGGTGCGAGTCATTCATGGCACATAGGACTATAGTCATGGTTGTTAGAGATCAATCATCTCAAATGCACAACATCTGCAGGAGTTTCTCAGGGTAATGTCCTAGGCCCAACCATCTTCAGCTGCTTCATCAATTACCTTCCTTCCATCATAAGGTCAGAAGTGAGGATATTTACTGATGACTGCACAATGTTCAGCACCATTCATGACTCTTCAGATACTGAAGCAATCCATGGCCAAATACAGCACAATCTGGACAATATCCAGGCTTAGACTAACTAGTGGAAAGTAACATTCGCACCACACAAATGCCAGGCCATGACTATCACCAATAAGAGACAATCTGACCACTGCCCCTTGGCATTCAATGGTGCTACCGTCACTGAATCCCCCACTGTCAACATCCTGAGGGTTACCTTTGTCCAGAAACTCAACTGGATCAACCACATAAACATAGTGGCTACAAGAGCAGGTCAGAGGCTAGGAATACTGTGTTGAGTAACTCATCTCCTGACTCCCCAAAGCCTTTTCATCAGCTACAAGACATATGCCAGACATACTTCGCACTTTCCTGGATTGCTGCAGCTCCAACAAACTCAAGAAACTTTACACCATGCAGGACAAAGCAGCCCGCCTGACTGGCACCATATCCAAACATCCACGCCTTCTACCACTGATGCTCAGTAGCAGTAGTACACTGCAGAAATTCACCAAAGATCTTCAGAGAGCACCTTCCAAACTCATGACCACTTCCACCTAGAAGGACAGAGGCAGCAGACACATGGGAACACCACCACTCGCAAATTCCCCTCCAAGCCACCCACAATCTTCACTGTCGCTGGGTCAAAATGCTGGAATTCCCTCCCTAAAAGCATTGTATGTCAACCTAAAGTAGGTGGACTATAGCAGTTCAAGAAGGCAGCCTACCACCA